AATAGTTTATTTACTACATCATTTACTAAATAATGAACACACAATGGTGTTATATAGATCATAGTCATCTAGAGTGAGCAAATGAATATATATTTGCCTCGGTTTGGATTAGCTTGGCTAAAAAAGTTTTTTGCGGCTAAGCAAAATAGCTAGCTAAAATGTCCTTTATGGCAGTTGCAGTAGCGAGAATTAGTAGTATTGGTGTGCCATGTCCAATTGTCGATTGAAAAGCTATATAGAGCTATAGCAGGCAATGTAGAAGTTTGTGGGCCCATTTCCCATGTACACCATCAGCTGTGAGTTTTAGTAAGACATTGTAGATTAATTAATACAGTTGCCTAATTTTAAACTCATTTACTGTTGAACAGTGTAGCAGATTTGTTAGAGCAAACGATAGCATATATGTTTGCGGCGGGCGCGGCATATATTGGACTACTTGATGATCTGGCGCGAAGATATTCATTCAGCTGTTTGGTTGCTGTATGGTCCGTTGTTGCTGAAGCCTGCCTTGGGTTGCTGATAAGTGTGTACTCTGTCGTGACTCAGGTTCTTATCGTTGCCCCGCTGCTTGCCATAGTTCTTTCATTGATCAGGCTTGTGGTAAGCCACTATGGCAATGCGGGTGGAGATGCCGCCAATGCAGAGAAGCTCAAGGCATCCCTGCGGATCTTCTACTCTCTTGTTCTGGCGCAGAATGCTCTCTTCTACTTGTGGAAGTGGCTTATCCATACTTGGCCAGATCGTGCGTCAGTTGTGAGAAAGCAATGTGGATTTGGCAACTGGGGTAAAATTTGGGTTTTCAGATACGTTCTAGAAACCAGAAAGATGTGCAGCACACAAGTACAAGTGACCTCGGGCTGGAACTTGATCACCTTTGCCGTCGGCCTGCTCGGCTCCGAATCTCGGGATGATCGCCGTAACGCGATTCGTCTGTTGGACACCTTCAACAACAACGACAACAACAACAAAGCCTTTAAGTCCCAAACAAGTTGGGGTAAACTATCCATTAAAGTGGCTAAGTTTTTACATTGGCTCGCTACGTCTAACACAACCCTCCTCCTTTATCAGGGCTTAGGACCTGCTATGCTGGGACACCAAAGGCGCCCCACCATGGTCTGTTGGACACCTTCGTCAGGAACAAAATACTGGTGGCACCCAAGCTGCTGCCTTGCAAGGTCCCCCTTGAGAACCTTATGCAAACGCTCGAGGTGGGCGACAGCGAGATCAGGGAGCGTGCAGCTAGGGTTGTTGCGGCTCTTGCCGGCGACCTCCGCCACATTGACCAGTTCCCCTCAGCAGTGGATCACATAGCTTCACTGTTTCAACAAGCCTCTAATAAGCAGTTGCCCACAACTGCAGTGACGACGACGAAAAGCATGCAGGGAGTAGGAGGACGAGCAGGCAGGAAGGAACCTTTATTGTGGGCTCGTATACCGGGGCAACCTATCTTTGCTCAACATTTACATCTATAAAACCTTTGAGAATGAGGAGGAAACTGACCTCGAGAGGTTCATCCAGCACCAAGGAAACTGTGTGCACATATGCAACAACCATGTCCTGCTCTCAAAGATCACAGCGCCACTGAACTCATCCAATGCCTTCCTTGACAACGCAGCAGAGGAGTATGACAGTGAGTGGATCGACATACTGAGCAGATCACTGAGGATCTTAGCCAGGCTGATCCGTGCTCCTGGTGAAGCCAACAGAAACCTGCGCAACGAGACCGCAAGCAATACACAGGCCGTCGCTAACCTGACAAGGATTCTAGAGGGTGACAAGTTTGGCCCAGTGCTAAAGGCACCAGCCATCCAGATCCTTGCAGAATTGGCGTCTTCAGACAACAAGACTCTGACGAGCTTGGGCAAAGGTGACAAACACAAGTTCATTTCCCGATTGTGGGGCAACTTCTTTGCAGCTCCACAAAAGGATGGCATTTGTACTGGTGACAACAACAATAGGACTGCCATTGAAGAAGAAGAAGAAGAAGAAGAAGAAGAGACACAGAAAGAGCAGGCTACCAGATTGAGACACGAAGCAGGGGAGGCACTGGTACAGATGCTCCCTGTGCTGGACGCAGGAAGTTCCTCAGATATCCTGCAGATGCTCATCCCAAGTGGTTCTGACTTCTGAGGGTCACGTTGTTGGCCAACTTACCTGCATGCTCATTACAGGCAATAGTAAGGGCTGTCAAACTCAAACCTTGGCCGCAGAAATCCTCAAGTGCTTATGTTCACATTTGACGAATGAGCACAGGCAACTTCCTAGGCAGGATGTGTTCCAGATGTTGACAAAGGTAACCCCATACCCATCTAGATGACTACGTCTTCGTTCCTGCACATTCATTCATTTCAGCTTATCATCTTCAACATATTGTTAACTGATGGTGCATCAGGTTCTTCAACTCATACTATCTATCCAAAGAGAAGAAAGCGATGGCGCTACTGCTGGGGTAGCAGGAGCAGACAGCAATCATGCAGCACAAAACGATGAGGAGAACCCGCGTCCAGCAGAAGACCACGGAGGGAACCCGTCATCATCATCATCATCCAGTAAACATGAAAAGGAATTCGTGGTGGCCCTGTTATCCCTTGCTGTGGCGATATGCGACGGCACGATGGTGAATGCACATGATTTCATCGGTGCTGCCCCTGTCGACATAGTGTTGCTCGTGATAAAGCTTAAGGAGATGATAGAGATAAACAATGACGCCACATTTGAATGCCTGCGAGTAGTGAAGCTTTCCTGCCAACTGGTTGTTTCCATGGTGCAGCTCGAGCCCAGCTCGATCTGTCAAAGTCTGCATAGACCACAGTTTCATGGATGTACTTATGGTTGAAAACGGTCGGGATATATCCCGTTCCGTTCCGCCCCGATTTCTACATTTAATCCGATCGTTTTCGTATTTTCGGACAAAAACGGAATCGGTACGGAAAACGGGACACGAAATTTGAAATCGGGACGAAATCGGTTTGGGCCCTATCCCGATCGTTTTCGCATATCCCGTATACGCAAAGCGGACATTCCGAATTTACTTCTTACCCAGTGGAGCGCCCCAGTCAGCAACTCGAGCAGCCAGCGGAGCGGCCCAGCCAGCGACTCGAGCAGCCAGTGGCCAGCCACAGCGAGCGACTCGAGCAACCAGCGGCCAGCCAGCAACTCAAGCAGCCAGCGGCCCAGCCAGCGACTCGGCCCAGCCAGCAACTCGAGCAGCCAGCGACTCGAGCAGCTAGCGGCCCAGCCACAGCGAGCGACTCGAGCAGCCAGCGGCCCAGCTAGCAACTCGAGCAGCCAGCGGCCCAGCCCTCGAGCAACTCGGGAAGTGCTGCTGAAATATAACCTGTTGGCTAGCCCAAATGTCTCTAAATATTTAGACCTGTTGCCTATTTATCAATTGTCATGCTGAATTGGTGATTTGTGTATCAATGTATGTGTACAAGTGAATTGTGCATGACCATGTGTGGTTGTGTCGGACTGTCGGTACCGGACTGTTGGCATGTTGTCATGCTCAACTAGGTTCTACGGGCCGGTGTTTCCATTTTGCTTTTCGTATTCCGACCGTGTTCGACATGTTCCCGACCGAATTAGTTCGTTTTCGTATTGAAATGTAAAAGTGAAAACAATATTGGGGTTATCCCGACCGAGTTCGACCGCTTTCAACCCTCTACTATCCAAATCCTCCAAGGGCTTGTCAGATCTCGATAACTGCCTCATGCTCTTTGATGACAATTATCATCAGGTGACCAAGACTGATAAGCCACTAGCTTCACTTGTGAAGCAAGCACAGGAACTCTTCGACAAAGCACAAGAACAAGGTAATAATGACCCTGCTGCTTAATTAAGAGAAACAAAACCATCTATTATATTGCGGTGTGTATGAACTATATGAAAAAGTACCAAGTCTGTTTGCGGGTCAATCCACTGCTGCGTGAAGTGTGAAACTCGGATTTATATATTAATTGATAGGCCACTGCATATGTTAAACTATTATTAAAGTGTGAATGTGTGATGATGTGTGGCAAGGCTACAATCAAATTGATGTTGCATGCTATAAAAATCGGCCTCTCAGTATTATTTGTTCTGAACGACAATGATATACACATACACTCCAGATTAACAGTGTTGTGTGTATGTGCTCCCGCCGGCAACTGCAGTTGCCCCGCGGCTGTATATGATGTGTTATCTCCCTCGCGTGGATTCCTGCTGCATGGCAAGCAAAATCATAGGTTGCCTTCCCAAATCAGCTTGACTTTCGTAAAAAAAAAAAAATCAGCTTGATTGGAGAAGCGTGCATCGCCAAAGCACTGTCATGGACTGGGGCGATGGATCGTGGGCTTCCAGCTGGGCCACGAGAGGGGCTTTCCAAGTGCTTCCGTTGGAACAGGAGCAAGACAATAAAGGACCGAAGCGACACGGGAACGGACATCGAAAAGAATATACTGAACTCGACTCGTCTTCCTCCTCTGTCCGACTCCTGTACCTGTTCTTGCTGTCTCTCCCGATTCCTTGCTATTCCCAGTCTAAACTCCCTCTGATTCTTCCCCCAAATTGTATCAGTACTGCTGTAATTGCGAATTGGTAGTGAAGGTTCATAACAAGCACATGGTTAGAATAAAGGTTGTGCACGGGAAGAGCTAGCTAGCAGATCTGTCAAACTTACAACACCAGGCAAAAATAATCCCACACAAATAGAGGCTGCATTTACATGGCAACAGAAAAGCAATCTATATGGGCAGAGGATGATGCAAATTTATTCTCTACTTCCATTATTAATAGAAGGCCTGGAAATTAAACATACACACAGGAGTCAGTTTATACATATGTGAGGAAAGGAAGGGAAACATACAAATCACTCTCAGCAAGCATATATAGTGGCACGCAGACACAGCAGCAAAAAGCATTGCTGCATAAACAAACCACTCACCCCATAATGAAACGTGCGGGCGCGATAAAACATAATAAATAAGCCACATGGCAAGGAGGATGGGGGGGAGCAACACATTTTACACGGCGTCCATGTCCCTTGGCGTTTGTTCCTGTACACACACACACACACACACACACACACACACACACACACACACACACACACACACACACACACACACACACACACTAATTCACTCTGGACTCGATCTCTGGAGTATACTCCTCGATCAAGTAGTAGGTAGACGAAGTGCGGATGTTGTGTGAGCATTTCCAGGGGACGGCGGAGGCCTACTCGAGGAAGCGCCATCTTGTAGGGCGCTGTTGCTGGCGTTGTCAAACCAGACCTCTGATGGGTGACCATCATTCACCGGTTGCTTGTTTTTTCCCTAACAAGGTGTTTATAATACCAGTAAATAAATTTATCAGGCCTCAGCAAACTAAAGGTTTATCCATAGGAAATTTTTCATGATTTGCTAGGAACTATCTCTAGTAATTCATCATAGATGATAGATCATAATTGCATATAACAATGAAGAAATATAAACAACACAAGTCACAATGGTGGATCGGAGCATAAGACATATGGGGGCCGAGATGGCGTTAATTATATTAGGGGGTCTTTGAGCATGGGTGCTAGGAAAGGAAATGAGTTCGGTGGAATTCAGGTTTTAGGTGGAGTTCTATATAGGATGTGTGGACCGGCGTAGGAAGATTTTTTTGCCGAGAATGGCATGACTCTAGGGCGTCATTTGGATCCATATGAAGAATTTTGACAATAATATAGAAAATTTTACCTTAACCCGTCCAAAAAGGAAAGTTTTCTTTTTATTTTTGCCAAAATTATACACATATTTTGAATAGAACCTTAGCAAATATATTTATGAGTGCAAATAAATAGCCGATATACAGAGAGTAATGCATGAGAAAAAAGAAATGACAAAGCAATAAAGTAGACCGGCCGGGATCTAGTACATACGTACCATGTGATGCGCGAGGTCATTCCAGGAGCGAATCCTAAAGATGTAATCCCACCCCATCTTGCAGTCTTGTGCAGGCGGGTTCAGCTGCCACTTCTGGATGCCGGCATGATAGAGCATCGCCCAGAGATGGGTGATGAGCTCGCCACCTTGCGAGAGGTACTGCATGTGCTCCTCCACGTCGTCCGATGGCGCGGCGTACACCAATGCCTTCACCCAGAAATCTACCAGCAACTTCCACCGATCAGCTGGAGCCATTTCTTTGTTAGTTAGTCCCTTCCCAAGCTTCACACCCAGGGCATAGACCCAGTATCCAACACCCTCAGATGGATTAAGTGTAATATCATCCGTGTTGCAACTGTCCATTGCCCGTAACTTGTCTCCTGTTCCGGTCGTCCAGCTAATCACCACTTCCCTAACTTGAGCGTATACCCATTTTGTAGTCTCGAAGCGGCCAGGGAGTAAGCGCGGTGCTGAAGCCACCAAGTATGCACAGTATTTGGACAGAGCCGTGGCCACGCCACGATCCTTGTTGTCTTCGTCTACAACATGAACTTGGTCGTGCAGTTCACAGTAGCATGTTGCAATGTGCCACATGAGAATACAAGACACGTATATCATCGCATTCCTATCGGTAGCCTCAGACGATGGCTTAACAGCTACCTTGACAGAGAAGTCTGGAAGATGGCAACCTCTTTGTCTATTTTCCTCTTCGGAGGATGCCCAGCCACTCACTTCATCGGACCTCATCTTGTCAAGAATAAAACAACCAATGGATGTTTTCACATCGCAGTGCAGGTCACGGGGACTCCTGGAGCCGCCCTTCAACATTTCCTGGAGCTCTCGTCTTATGTACTGCAGTCCAAGCAGGCCCAAACACCTCTTTACAAGGGACTTTAGATGCGAACAACATTTCCCGATAATTTGCTCCAGGAATAAGCACACCGCCATCATTTGTGTGCAGAAAGGAATACAGCCGCAAAAATTCACCAGAAATCCACAACAGAATATCCGATTGTAGAATACCTGATGGCAGCGGTGGTGACCCAGAAATCCCCAGAAACCCACCATGATGGAACCGGATTCTTCAATCACTGAATGTTGCCTGAGCTTATTTTGCCATAGGTAGTATTTGTCGTCATACCAATTGATCTTGAGAAGATATGCTCTCAGTCTCATTCCCCAGCTCACATCGTCGGCTTTAATTTCTTTTCTTCTTTTACATTGCTCGCCGTATGATGATTACTTTTGTCCAGAATCTTGCTGACCCAATCACGGGCAAAGGAAACTCTGGACCAATTTGAGGTCCAGCAGCGTAGCATCTGCACCACCTGTAGTAGAGCTAGAGACACCAGTATTACTCCAGTAATAACATAGTCCGCTGTTGTGGTGTTCACAAATATGGTGCCCGCAGGAGCAGCACGGTGGGTCATCCTCATGCCAGGTATGGCGGCCACTGCCCCTACGAAACATATGCCGACAACCGAAGCAAATGCCCAGACGCTAGCATTCTTCGCCTCATAGTAATGGAGGAACGTGTTGCTGGTGTACAAGATGTCGTATAGGAAAGCCAACTCAATCTCAGCCACCTTGTAGGCCCGCTCGTAGTTTTTAACCAAGGGCTTTGTGCTGTCGGCCACCGCTGGTGTAATGCCGCTGCTTAACCCAAGGAAACGCCGGTGCAACAAATGAGACAGAGAGAAGGAGAGGCACACATCCTTGCAGGCATCAAGGGCTGATTCTACAATCTTACTAATGCCTTCTTCGCAACTCATGGAAGCTATATCACCCATGTCAACCTCCCGACGATATCCAATAATTACGTCAAGCTTCCTATCAACAATTAAGTCTTTTCTTCATCAGCATCTCCAAAAGAACATTTTCTAATCCTATGCGCCGGAATCTCTCTGATCATGTTCCGCATAGAGCTTGGCAGAACAAGTGCCATTGACCTATGAAATCCCTTCATGAAAGTCACGGCAGCTAACACACAGATGGCTACATTACCAATATCGCTAGAGATGGTTGTGATGCTCATTAGCAGGACATATCCAAAGTAGAGACAAAGCTGATACAACATCTTCCAGAGCTGGTTTTTGTTGTCAAGCCCAGACGCAGCAGCTGAGTCGACGCAGCAAAGGAGAGCTAGTAAGGATACCGCCCATATCGGGTACATCTCGCTCTTCACCCGTGAAGATTGCATTAGGCCAATGCTGTATGTCCCGAGGGACAGAAACAATGCATTTGCAGCCAGGAAACCCTTCTGGATGATCCAACTCTTGGACCAACGGCGGCAATACCCAAATGCAGCAAGGAAGAAAGAGAGAGCAATGGCCACCAACGCTAATGCCTCGATTCGGAGCACTGTGCCCCTAGGACTCTTCCACATATCTCTCAGCTGATGCAAAAGGCTTTCTTCTGATGCTGCATTTCCCAAGTGTTGCGGACTCATATTCCCCATTCGGCGGTGGCCCACCTTGGAAGAACAAGTAGATGTGTGTCATAAAAGCTAGGCTTTCTGATTTAGCTACAAATTTTGCTCGGGGAAAAGATTAGACCAATCTCTATAATTGTGTACTCAACCATTGTATTCTAATAAAGAAGACATAAGATCGAAATCGGTGATGCAATGGACTCAAGCCTAGCTATGAGATGACTGGCACACGCCTCCAACAAACTGAGGCTATTCTCAGTTCATAGGTTATGAATTGCTACTCTATGGTTTTGTGATATATAGTTATTATCAGGCTAGTACTGTTTTGCTTCACAGTTTTTTTACAATATTTAGTTTCTAAATATATAGAAAAATTAATTAACATCACGCTAATGGTTGGAGTTAGAAGTGGACCTGGGAGGCTCCCTCCTCAATGTTAATTACGACTCCAAGACTAAAGTAAATATAATACTTCGTGAATGCCCACTTTTCATAGCTAATAAACTAGGAAAAAGTCTACTTAATCCTCCAACTTATTTGTAGTTATCTACTTCATCGCTTCACCAGTAAAACCATGTCTACCCCTTAAACTATTGAAAGCCGTCTGAATAACCGTCTAAGGCGGTTTTGAAAGTGGTTTTGTTGGTGCGGCATATGAAGAAGTCTACATGTCATCCTTAAACTATTGAAAAGTCTCCTACTCTACCTCACTGCACTCGACGAGGGCATTGAGCTCATGCACTGCGCCTACACCCTTCGTCATCTGGCCCCTCCCACATCTCGGCCTTGATCATTTTCTCCTCCTGTGGCTACCTAAAAAACTGAATGACAACCAAATGGAGGACGTGGGAGGGGCTGGATGACGAGGTTGCAGACGTGGTGCTTGAGCTCAATGGCATTGATGAGTGCTGGGAGGTAGAGCAGGAGACAAGATGTCACATGCTACTTGTTGGGCAGTGGGCTAGCCTAGAAAGAGTAGAGAGGTGGAGGCAACAAATGGGCTTGCGTGTAAGCATAAGTACTTAGGCCAGTGTGGCGGGATACGGTCTCAAACGGTCCTACACGATCAACAGGGGGTCATTTGAATATTATTAGATATACTAAAAGGCTACATTATCACGTTTTGTAGAAGGAAGTTATGCAGTCAACCCTTGATATGTTAGGGGGTTATAGAGACTTTTTAATATGCCATGTCAGCGAAATTACCTTCAAAACAGCCTAGAGGGTTATTTAGATGGTTTTCAATAGTTTGAAGGGTAGAATAACTAGTTTCATAGATGAAGGGGTGAAGTAGACAACCCACCAATAGTTAAGGGGGTTAAACAGTCTTTTTCTACTAAATTATATGTTTGAAAGTAGATCCAGTTGCCTCTACTATTTATCTATAAGAACAGTGATAGGCCTAAGAACTGGTCAATGCAAGTGGAACAAACCGAGTATATATCAGTGAGTTTTTTTAAATACGACAAAGCTGATTACAAAATAATAATATTTGATACGAAATAATCAATTTTACATATAAAATTAGTTTTTGTGAAATATGACGTACCATATTTTCTGTTGCTTCTGTTTTCCTGCTAGCTTAGCTGAGCTTCCCCGGGTGCGCCAGCCTTGTCACGCCTAGCTTGCCTCCAGAGTTGAGTTTCACTCTGTATCCATAGTTATTAGGATTGGACGATTAATCGAATCGGCAAGATCATTGATTAATTGGTTCAATCGTGAAAACCAGTTTTTTTTGAGAGAGAGAGAGAGAACAGGAGGGATCAGAGGCTGGTCCCTACTGGAGCATATATTAATTAAAAAATAGGAAACAAACAAAGGAGTACAAAGGAAGTACAAAAGGAGAACAGAGCAGGTTCAAGAAACAAAGAAGGTGAGGAAGAAAATAAGGCAGATTACACAAGATGCTCTAGCCATAAAACGATTGAAGGGAAGTACTTTTTCTTCACACGAAGGATAACTAGGGCCATGTTTAGTTCCCCAAATTCCAGAATTTGACACTATGCAAAAAGAAGATTCCTCATCACATCAAACTTGCGGTACATGCATGGAGTACTAAATGTTGACAAAATGAAAAACTAATTGCACAGTTTGGTTGTACTTTGCGAGACGAACGTTTTGAGCATAATTAGTCAACGATTGGACAATTATTACCAAATAAAAACAAAACGGTACTGTAGCCGGAACTAAACGAGGCCTAGGCCGAAGACACTAAGGAAGCAAAGCTTGCAGCGGTCCAAACTGACAGCCTCATTTCTGAAGATAAGATTGTTTCTAACAGTCCAAACGCTCCAGCACATTAGTACTATGATCTCCATATGAAGAAAGATACACCAAGCTGTGTTTTGAAACTCTCAAGGATTTCCAAAGGTTGAGCTGCAGTAGGCACTTGAATACCTACCAGATTCCAGCAATCTCTGGCAAAGCTGCAGTGCAAGAAAAGATGCTACCAGATTCCAGCAATCTCTGGCAAAGCTGCGGTGCTAAGAAAAGATGCTCTACCATTTCCTCATGAGGCCTCGTTGCACAAAACACAATCATATGACTGAAGATGCATATGTTTCCTTCTCAGAATATTCCTAGTACTACTGAGCCTATTTCAATAGCTTTGGACTGTTTTAATTGAACCGGCCACAAATACTTTGAAGATTGAACCGGTGCAATATATATACATATATAGTTGATTTATAGAAAAAATAAACACATAAGTATTACAAAAATATTGTAGAAACCAAAACAACTGTAATTTGACATCAATGCTATATCTACAAAGGACCAGCAGGCATTTGAGTTGCAACTTCTAGTTAGGGAACAAATCGACACACACTTCAGTAATTTAGTTTGAACTAGGAAATCTGAATACTATGTACTGACCGTTAGCCGTGCTTGTTGGCCTGACTGGTACTGCTCGGTGAAGAAGGGGAGGAGCCTAGGACCTAGGAGTAGCGCACGACGCCGGCCTTCTGTGTTCCTGCCTGCTGCCGTGCTGCGTGCTGCTTACTGGATAGTGGATCTCTAGCACTGGCGCACCGCCTGCTACCGGAAGGAAACGAGGTCCATGGAGGTGGAGGCGTGGCCCGTGGAGGCTGGAGCGCCGCGCCCCAGGCGGCCCGGTGGCCAGCGCCTGCGTGCTGCACGATGAATGGCGCGCCCACCCGGAAGCCGGCACCCGCTGCGGTGGGGACGGCGGACCCAGAAGCTAGAGCGGCGGCCGCCGCCTGGCACCCAGAGCCTCACCCGTCACGGACAGGGCCGCCGCGCCGCCGGCTGGCGCTAGGAGGAGGATGTTCGTTGTCGACGTACTCGACGAACGAGCTCGGGGAACTGGGAGCGTGGCTGCGTGGGATATGGAGAGGAGGAGCCTAGGAGCGCCAGAGCCCGAGGAGAAGGATTCGGGATTCCGGCGCTGCCGCCGCCCGCTCGGCCAAATGAAAAGAAAATTCCCTCCAGTGGATTCAGATCCTCTGCAGTCGCCTCGTCGACTTCAGTCTGCAGTCAGGCGAATCCGTGCCAGGCTACCACACGAGAGGCAGAGGATCTGAATCCCCCTCCAGTGCGTGCCACTGAACCCCGGCTAAATGTGAAAAAAAAAAATTTGATTTTTTTTTTCAGTTATACCCCTGCGTGGTGTTGGCTGCTCACAATCTTTCTTGATTCTCAGCTTATCGCATAGGTATTCTAGCTTTGTCTTTAACGGGCTTGCCAGCGTCTGGGCGGACGGGGCATCCAGATACCCATGCATGCACCGTTTCGTGCGCCCACCCGGGCCCAGCATGCCACCCTGCCGCTATCCCAGCCGACGACGACCTTCTCCTGGTGGCGCGGTGCACGTCATGGCCATGACGGGTGGGCGCGGAGTGGGGCGCAGTGGGGGATACCCACAACGGCGAGCCGGAGTGGGGCGGCACGGCGAGGGATGGCCGTTGTGGCGAGGCGGAGTGGGGCAGTGTGGCGTAGGATGGGGGCGCGCGTGGGGAGATGGTCGTGGCGACGATGCAGAGTGGGGCGGGCGGATGGCCGATGGCGCAGAAAAGCACACGACGGGCAAGCGAGTCGGGAGATTTTTTGAGAAAGGGAGATAGGGACCTGTCTCAAAAAAATCTCCACTCATTTTTTTTTGTTTTCGTGCGACCCGGTAAGGAGGGAACCTAGACGGCGAGGAGCTTACCTCCGTGACGTCAGTTCTTTTAGAGGATTATTTTGCTTTAGCACTTAGGGCCTATTTGGGACAGCTCGTCCAGCTCTAGATCCACAAAAAACAGTTCACTCCACGAAAAATTACCCAAACACTCTAGATCATCAAATCTTGATTCATCAAAATAGTGGATCTAGAGGCCAAATTCACTATTTTGATGGATCTCTTAAGAGACGCTCCACCAAACTTAATTTGGTACACCGCTGCCGCTGACTATACAAACATACCGCTTTGTTCTATTTTTCTCTTTCTCCTCTTCTTCTCCCGTCGGACCGCGCAATCGCCCGTTTCTCCCACCGTGGCCAGCGACCATGCGCCCCTCCCCGGCCGGCGCGCCGCCACCGCCACCGCGCGCCCCTCCTGGTCCCGCGAGCTTGCCCAGACGGCGGCGTAGGCCTCCTGGCCGGGCGTTCCATTTGCCCTCGATCCCCGCTCTGTTCCTAGCCGGCGGCGTAGCCCAACCACGGCCGCCATGGCTGTTCCAACCCCGGCCCTGCGAGCTCGCCCAGCCGGTGAACTCCGGCGAGTCTGCGCCTGGAGAGCCCGGCGCCGGCTCCCGCGAACTCCGGCGACTCCGTGCCCGCCCACCACAGTAGCACCCAGAGAGCCCCGCGCCGGCGCAGATCTCCGCCCCGTGCTCCCCATTCGCTGGCTGAGAGCACAACTCCTCCGCCGGCCGCGTGCGCCAACCTCGTCGCCGCTGGGGTCCTGCCCGCCTTGGCCAGAGAGCTGTTTCGCCGTCCGCTGAGATCCACCGCGCCACGCCAAGCCTGCCGGAGGAAGAAGACCGGGAACTTTTTTTTTCCAGACACTGACGTGTGGGACCCATCCT